GACAAATATCTCACTAACTTTAGAAAGCCTGGGACACAAAATGGCGACACACAGTAGATCTGGATACCCAATGAACTAGAAATTACGATCAGTCAGAGGCATCTCAGTAGCATGCTGATCATAAAGTCACAAATTCTGGTACACTTGAAATTCAAAGTTATAGTCAGTCAGAGGCATCTAGTAGCATGCTGGCCATAAAATCACATAAACAAAAAGGAAAAATCTCACCCGAATCAGTGCTGCAAAAATTCGAGTTTCCTCTCCTGTTTCTCCTTCTAAAACGTCCTGGTGTGTCTTCCCGCTTTATTCTTCTTAACTAATCCCAAATCACTGGCTGATGGCTACTCCAAAGCACGATAATTGTAGATTTTCTTCCAAACTTCAATTCACACTGCTTCATTCAAGATGGCGACCTTCCTTCTCTCTCATGTGATGGCATGAGTCATAGGCACAGGTGAACACATTTTGAAATCAGGGGCACTGCATTGCAGCAATTGAGGGGAATCCCCTTCCTGTCTTGGAATACCCACTTGTGAGCAGGGGTTTCCCTATCCCTTGCATAAATGGACCAATTAAACATAAAACTGCACCAGTGGGAAAATTAAAAAGGATAAACACAAAAAATGAAATTTTCCCACAATATATACTGTCCAACTGTCCCGCAACTTGCGTATTTGTATAAATGCGAGTATTAGCGAGCGGGAATAAATAGAGGTGTCCAATATTCTGACCAAGGTGTTCAGTTCTGGACCAAGGTGTCCACAATTTGAAGGAAGGTGTTCAACATTTGTAAGTCACTCATGTTATGTGTTCCCAAGTTGACAGGCCTGCATATATGTTATATTCAATAATGTTGATTTGATTTATCAAATTAAGAATTGTTGGTGGGGTTTCAGAATATCGAAACGAAAATTATGTAAGTGATAAGGATTTACAATTAATAGCCTTTTTATGAACCCACACCTAAAAATAAGGCATATCACGCCCGTAGCCACGGGGGGTTCGATGGGTTGAGCCCCAAAAAATCTTTCAAAATCATGCAGTTTTTCACCATTCTGAGTACTTTTTAAGTGATTTTGGCCCTTTTTGGACCAAAATTGTCACAAGTGTACCCCCCCTGGAATTTTTCCAAAAGTGAACCCCCCTTGGCAAATCCTGGCTACAGGCCTGCATATTACCATCTTTTTAAGTAACTATTGGCTAATTAAAGTCTAATTAGTAATATTAACTCGATTGGCTTAATTAGCTAATTATGCTTCTTCATTTATTGCTTCTGCGACAATCTTTGCAGACTCCATTTCACCAAAATTTAAAAAAGTTTGAAGTAAGATGAATAACAATTCCTTATTTATTGATGCAATCCCTAATAAGTAACTGTACTCACCTGTTGCAGGGCAGAATGATTTGTTAGTGAACTGTCTACAACATTGAGGGTTACCACCAGGTGCCAGCCAGTCAAAGTAATCATCCAACCAAGATGAGGCAGGATGGGCAATCCTTGTTCTGTAAACACAGAAAAATACTACAGTAATAATCATAAACAGGGCATTTATTTGACAAAAAATCAGCTGAAGCTTATATGTTTATATGAGTTGACAGTGAATCTGCAATCCAATGAAAAAACTAATTGTTTCTATACTGCACAAAAGTGACACAATTGTAACAGATGTTACAGACTGCTAGTCATTAAAGATGGAGGTTGTAACAATATTACCTGAGGTCTTGAAGCAGATACATAAATCATAAGTATGAGTGATATTTTGAACAGACTCAATTAAGTTACATGCTAATATGTTGATGCAACTCTAGACCACAACTAGGTAACCCTAATTCCTGCACATATCAGATATCATATAAAAAATATTGCTGAAACCTTAAGTATATGTACATTGTACATTGAAAGAATAAAAACAATATTGTGTTCTTCTTCATTTTCCTTTAAATAGTTTATATAACTACTGGCACTGTTATGCTGCCTTTGAACACTTGATACAGTCTTTCTCTAAATACTTTAACACACTAGTTACTTTTAACTTATCACTTATTTGGTGAGAGAGAGATGAATACTTATAAATGCGCAGTGCTATTCTCTGAATCTGCATGTATTTTAAACTTCAAGTCAAATAAAAGTCACTATCTCTGTTGGTTATTCCTTAGTAAAACTACAGATTCTGTAACAACTAACAATAATAAAAATATATTGTTGTTCTTCCAATAATATGTCGTGTAAGCACAGTTTTCGAAGGAAGACTTGATAACAAACTTTTAACACAAGGCATTAACATGACAAAATGTCACCACCTAAAACAATTTGGTCAATTTAAAGCAAGTTGGAAAATACCTTTTGACCTTAAGAAGGTTTGATTTGAACTTCTTAGAACATGTATATGATTTTGAAAAAAAAATTCGTCAATTTGAAGCAATTGAAAAAATACCTCTTTGACTTTTTTTGACATTGAGAAGGTCATTGAAGGTCAAATGTCAAATGTAAAGTCAGATTTGAACTTCTGAGAACATGTAGATGATTTTGAAAAAAAATTAAGTAAATTTGAAGCAAGTTGAAAAAATACCTTTTTGACCTTGAAAAGGTCATTGAAGGTCAAATGTCAAATCTTAAGTCAGATTTGAACTTCTGAGAACTTGTAAAGTCAAATTTGAACTTCTGAAAAGATGTAGATGATTTTGAAAAAAAAATTAGTCAATTTGAAGCAAGTTGAAAAAAGACCTTTTTGACCTTGAGAAGGTCATTGAAGGTCAAAGGTCAAATCTAAAGTCAGATTTGAACTTCTGAAAAGATGTAGATGATTTTGAAAAAAAAATTTGGTCAATTTGAAGCAAGTTGAAAACAGACCTTTTTGACCTTTTTTGACCTTGAGAAGGTCATTAAAGGTCAAATGTCAAATCTAAAGTCAGATTTGAATTTCTGAGAACAGGTAGATGATTTTGAAAAAAAAATTCGTCAATTTGAAGCAATTGAAAAAATACCTCTTTGACTTTTTTTGACATTGAGAAGGTCATTGAAGGTCAAATGTCAAATGTAAAGTCAGATTTGAACTTCTGAGAACATGTAGATGATTTTGAAAAAAAATTAAGTAAATTTGAAGCAAGTTGAAAAAATACCTTTTTGACCTTGAAAAGGTCATTGAAGGTCAAATGTCAAATCTTAAGTCAGATTTGAACTTCAGAGAACTTGTAAAGTCAAATTTGAACTTCTGAAAAGATGTAGATGATTTTGAAAAAAAAAATAGTCAATTTGAAGCAAGTTGAAAAAAGACCTTTTTGACCTTGAGAAGGTCATTGGAGGTCAAAGGTCAAATCTAAAGTCAGATTTGAACTTCTGAAAAGATGTAGATGATTTTGAAAAAAAAATTTGGTCAATTTGAAGCAAGTTGAAAACAGACCTTTTTGACCTTTTTTGACCTTGAGAAGGTCATTAAAGGTCAAATGTCAAATCTAAAGTCAGATTTGAATTTCTGAGAACAGGTAGATGATTTTGAAAAAAAAAATTAGTCAATTTGAAGCAAGTTGAAAAAAGACCTTTTTGACCTTTTTTGACCTTGAGAAGGTCATTGAAGGTCAAATGTCAAATCTAAAGTCAGATTTGAATTTCTGAGAATCTGAGAATCTTAGTCAATTTGGAGCAAGATGAAAAAATACCTTTTTGACCTTTTTTGACATTGAGAAGGTCATTGAAGGTCAAATGTCAAATCTTAAGTCAGATTTGAACTTCTGAGAACTTGTAAAGTCAAATTTGAACTTCTGAAAAGATGGATGATTTTGAAAAAAAAATTAGTCAATTAGAAGCAAGTTGAAAAAAGACCTTTTTGACCTTGAGAAGGTCATTGAAGGTCAAAGGTCAAATCTAAAGTCAGATTTGAATTTCTGAGAACAGGTAGATGATTTTGAAAAAAAAAATTAGTCAATTTGAAGCAAGTTGAAAAAAGACCTTTTTGACCTTTTTTTACCTTGAGAAGGTCATTGAAGGTCAAATGTCAAATCTAAAGTCAAATCTAAAGTCATATTTGAACATGTAGATGATTTTGAAAAAAAAATTTAGTCAATTTGGAGCAAGATGAAAAAATACCTTTTTGACCTTTTTTGACATTGAGAAGGTCATTGAAGGTCAAATGTCAAATCTAAAGTCAGATTTGAATTTCTGAGAATCTGAGAACATGTAGATGATTTTGAAAAAAAAATTTAGTCAATTTGAAGCAAGTTGAAAAAAGACCTTTTTGACCTTTTTTGACTTTGAGAAGGTCATTGAAGGTCAAATGTCAAATCTTAAGTCAAATCTAAAGTCAGATTTGAATTTCTGAGAACACGTAGATGATTTTGAAAAAAAATTTTAGTCAATTTGAAGCAAGTTGAAAACAGACCTTTTTGACCTTTTTTGACCTTGAGAAGGTCATTGAAGGTCAAATGTCAAATCTAAAGTCAGATTTGAAGGTCAAATGTCAAATCTAAAGTCAGATTTGAATTTCTGAGAACATGTAGATGATTTTGAAAAAAAATTTAGTCAATGTGAAGCAAGTTGAAAAAAGACCTTTTTGACCTTGAGAAGGTCATTGAAGGTCAAATGTCAAATCTAAAGTCAGATTTGAACTTCTGAGAACATGTAAATGGTTTAGAAAAAAATTGAAGTCAGTCTAAACAGTATTTGTTAAGTTATAGGAAGTTGTAAGAAATTGTTACAGACGCCGGACGCCAACCTCCAACCACCAACCGCCGGACGCCAACCTCCAACCACCAACCGCCGTCGCAAAAAACGGAGACCATAACAATATGTCACCACTTTTGGTGGTGACATAATAATAACAACTACTGATTTATTCTGCCATTTCATTATCAGAAACATAATTGGTGTGGCTTACCCCTCTCTTCGAGAAGCTGTATAAATCTGTCCTAGGAGAGAACTTACTGGACACCCATTGCCACCACATATACTGTCCTGGCCCTTTCTTGATGTATAATTGTGTCCATCCTCCACCACAAAGTACACTGGGGCGCCAACAGAGAGGTACTCATTTCGGTTGTTGAAGTAGTTTAGCACATATGAATCCTAAAAACAACTTTTTATTCTTATCAATTATCACTACTTAATTATTAATTTGCAGTACAAATAAAGACAAGGCATTAACATGACAAAATGTCACCACCTAATTGCTCACAAAGGTCAAATCTCAAATCTAAAGTCAGATTTGAACTTCCGAGAATTCGTAGATTTTGAAAAAAATTTGGTCAATATGAAGCAAGTTGAAAAAACACTTTTTTGACATGGAGAATCTCATTGAAGGTCAAGTCTCAAATCTAAAGTTGGATTTGAACTTCTAAGAACTTGTGGATGATTTCGAAATTTCGAAAATTTGAAGTCGGTAGAAACAGTATTTTTTAAATCACAAAACTATTTTTTTCTTTTCACAACCTTTATTTTATTAATTATTTTGGTGGAAACAAGAAAATGGGTTTGTGATTCAATAATTCAACTTGAAGATAATGTTTAAGAGTATTTGTTAAGTTATTGGAACACGTAAGAAATTGTTACAGATGCCGACCGCCAGAAGAAAACCACCAACTGCCTGATGCAAACGACCAACCGCAGTCACAAAAAACAGAAACCATAACAATTTATCACCACTTTTGGTGGCGACATTAAACGCTTGTCAACTGCCGCTAAAAGAGTAGGCTGGACAGTTAACATCATTTTGAGGCAGCAAATTTGGCTTTGTATGAGAAATTGTCAATACAATACTATATATATCAACAATCAACAAAACATATATCTTTCAAACATATCATACAAACCATGGGCGTAGCGCTATTTTTCTAAGTAGTACGCCACCACCACGGAAACAAGAGTTGAGTGAATCAAAAAACGAGCATTCACATTCTGGGGGTTCTCCTCCAGGAAAATTTTGAAATTTGGTTGTATTTGGAGTATATTTGTAACCGTCTGGTATGCCTGTGCGTACCCAGCGTACCGGGCGCTATGCCCATGCAAACTGCGACAAGAAGTTCTGCCTCTTATCTCACAATTTGAAATAAAATGAACAAAAATGTGATAAATATGAATATTCAAATTAGTCATTAGATTAAGTTAATTATCTTATGACTAGAACTCTTCATTCTATTGACTTGAAATTATATTATTCTAACTGTAAAACCTGGACAGTTGCCCTCTGGATATTAGGTCAATAATAGTATATATAACAAAGGTAATAGTGCTGTACGAGTTATTACCTCTGGTATGGATAATTTCTGGTCTGGTCCCACTTCCACATGGCCAATCATCCCAATACATGCACATGCCCATCCCATAAAAACCACCATCTATAAAGCAATGGTCAACTCCATTTATAACATTGTATTGCATACCTAGCGAAGCATTTGTATGGAAGTCAATGGAGCTGAACGTCGGCTATATATTCCTGTATAGCCGCCAAACTTTTTTACTATGACAGTCTTATGATGTCATGTTTCATTTCTTCCAAATTCCACTCGGACACAGATGTGTGACATTAATGATATAAAGTAGCTATTGAAATAAAGGTATGTAATACAAATGCCTTCGGTCTGTCGTAAATATAGCCCTGGCAAGCTTGGCCATAATGATGACTTACTTGAGGCATACATTAAAATGATAGGGACATAATGGCTAAATGTATCATATTACATGTATATATAATGGGTTTTATAAGCAACAAGAAATTTTCTCAAAATTGCCTGCTGTTTTGAGACACTTTGTAACTGTTTTCAATGTTCAAATTAATCTTTAATATGCCCTGTTATGGAGCGATGTGTCCCCCTCACATCTGGTTTGGCAACTTGAGATACCTCGTGAAGAAGCGCGCCAGATGTCAAGCGCAAGCCACTTGTTATCTCAAGTTACCAATCCAGATGTGAGGCGGACACATAGCTCCATAACAGATTGTTCCCATATGTTTTGTCTATTGCAAGAGAATTTTATGACACCTCTTATAATATTTATATTGATAACACATTTACATTAAACAAGTCGAGTTTTATACCTCGTCTTTAAGTGATTGAACACCTGAACAAACTCCTGGTAAAACCAAAGTCACTGAACCCTAAGAATTTTTTGACTCGCAAAATTTACTTCATGTATGTATACGTTATCTGGCTGAACATACCACAGGAATACGGACATAATCGCGTAGAAGGAATGGTGCGTAGTATTTCTCATAGGTATCGTACAGGATGCCAGGAGTTTTCTCAGATTCCTCCATGGTGTCTGATTTAGCACAACAGCTGATGTCATAGTGATTCTTCTGCAAACAGAATTAATCTTAGATGCATTTTTTTCAATTAGAAATACATTCAGCTATAAAAAATTGATTTGTTCAATTTTCAGCCAAATTACTGAGGTATTATACATATATTCGCCATTGTTTTCTAGCTTCAATTAAAGTGGCTCTATACCATAGGATAGCACAATCATGACCCATCTGGACCTTTTTGCATATTGAGCTTAACCACATATTCACCCATCTACTTACCAAAGAAGAAGTCTCAAATTGCGATTGTGCTGACCGATCTAATTATTTTCACAGATATTAAAGGGACAAAGTGCAGAAATAAAGTCTCATTTTTGATCTTCATAGTATTTCCAATGGATTAATAAACACCTGATCTTTCATTTGACACCAAAAAAAGCTCAAACAGACCTCATCAGAGTTGACACTAGCTCATGGAAAAATATTTTTGATCTATCAATTTATATATGTCAAGTTTTTAGCAATGCCATAGAAAGATGGCATTGTTGTTTGCATTACCCTTACGGAAAATAATTGCTGCGACAGCGCTGTGACAGCGCTGTCGCAGCGCTGTGACAGCATATAGGCTTAAAATGATGGCTGGATCAATTTCAGCAACAATCCTCTCACATCCATACGCTGCGAGAACGCTGTGAGAGCGCTGTCACAGCATTCTATTTCCATCCATCGCTGCGAGAGGGATGTGACAGTAATTAAGTGGCTGGATCAATTACAGCAACATGCTTTCTTAGCCACAGTTTGTGGCAGCGCTCTCACAGCACTCTCACAGCCCTCTCACAGCAGGAAGTACCAATGCATTGTGGGTTAAAAAATTCAAACTAAAAATCAGTTAGAGCAGGAATTTTGTATGAGGAAAGAACAAAGGAGTTATGCTGAAATGGCCATCATATCATTACTAATTTACAAAGCATATGTAAGGTATTGTACTACTGATTATTTATAGATACCTTTGGATTGTTCTAGTGATCTAAGAAAAAGGATCAAATGAAATGAATTTTGTGCAAGTTAGTACATACTGCATGGTTCAACTAAAGGTCTGAAATATCAATGTATTAGCACATATAGACATTATAGTGCACCATAAAGGATAAAATTGATACAATTGGAGAAATTTGCATGTACATGTACAATAACAGCTATTACACATTTTTCAAACTGAACAATGGAATTCAAGGCAAAAACCAAATAAGGAGTGCATAGATATATAAGCTGGCTTGAATCCATAAAGTAAGTTTCTAATTAAATGCAAACTTGATCTAGGGTGCAAATATATTGTCATCAGTTAGATGGAAATGCAGGGTCTTGGTAGCTAAATGTTTTCTGATATCCCTTATCTTCTTGTCTTGTTGCTATAGGTAACTAAAATTTATGTGTAGGAAGGATGCATAATCAATGCCATATATGGAAATGCTGTGAGAGCGCTGTCGCAGCCTCATTTGCATGGTACATTCCGATGGGCTGTCACAGCGCTGTGAGAGCGCTGTCGCAGCGCTGTGAGAGCGCTGTCGCAGCGCTGTGACAGCGGGCTGTGAGAGCGCTGTGACAGCGGGCTGTGAGAGCGCTGTGACAGCGGGCTGTGAGAGCGCTGTGACAGCGGGCTGTGAGAGCGCTGTGACAGCGGGCTGTGACAGCCAGTAAATTTGTATAAGGGTAATTATCCATTCAGTTTTGACAGGATTTTCAAGCATACGCCATCTTTTAATCCAAAAGTTATTCAAAACATACACTTTGTGAAAAGTGGTAATTCACTTTTTTCAATCTCTGAACTTCAAATGCTGTTTTCTATGCGAGTAATTTTTTATTCACTTCAGTATTATCCCAAATTAAAGTTTTTATCATATTTGATTGACTGTGTGAGTGACATGTCTCAAATAATATTTTGTCCTTTTTCCTTCAAAAATAGGCGCATTGCCTGTTTAATTCAATCTGAAGTTTAAATATACCGGGAATATCCCCCAGTTATCTGATTGGTCGTTGAATTTATTTATCATGAACCTGATTGGCTGCTTGGTTCAAGGCATGTTTGGGCACTTGTGTGAATCAATGGAGATTCCCCTCGCTAGCCGAGGAATCGAATGTGTTTAATTCTGGAGATCGGTTGTTCGGTTGATTATTTCGATATTTAGGCAATAATATACAAATAAGTTATTCTCAAGATATATCCATGGTATGTGAGATATTATATAAGCAATAACAAAGGGACGTCATTGATTGTCTGGGCGAGAACCCTATGGTATAATGCATCTTTAAGAACATGTAAAATTTTACCCTCAACCTATTTCTGTACCTAAACCTAGATGATCAAAATTCAACATTTAGAGTTTCCAAATGATAATCTTATAAGACAGAATTTGATCTCATCCAGTCAATATGGATGAATAAATAGTACCGTGGGTATTCGGCTCACATGGTGTTGATCAAAAGTGAATGATGGCTAAAATGGCAGAAAATAAAAAAAAATGAATGTAATCTTTTCCGATTTTTTGTAACAAAATAATTTCATACAACTACTTTTTACCGTCACATGGGTTTTTACAATGCAGCACGCCTGAAATTATTCGTAAAGCTAGGAAATGGGCCATGAATGAATTCTGCAAGACAAAAATGGTGAGCTTTTGAACCAGGAGTCATAGAGGAGTTTTCTACATTGATGTTGAACAAAAATAACTTAAAACGGGAATCCTATTGACAGAGGTTTTAAGGCAAATGGTCCAAAAGTGAATTTCCTGAGAAAAAACTGACGGCCATTTTGAAAATAGGCGACCTTTTGGCCCAGGAGTCATAGGTTTCTTTTTATATTGATGTTGAACAAAAATAACTTAAAATGGGATTCCTATTGACAGAGGTTTTAAAACTGGCCAATTGTTGACAGACAGACATCTTGTTTATATGCTGTTTATGTCATCTTCACAGATGGACAGACAGCTCTGAACCTCACCTCTTGTCTCTTAGCATCTAAAGCCAATACACTGACATAGCAGGAGATCTGAAGGAGGAAGTTGAAGAGGACAGCCATCCCAGCATACAAACAGAACACTTTCACAGCAGGGATGTTGGTTAATCCACCTAGAAGATAAACATAAGATTAGTCAAAGAGGACGACCATCCCAGCATACAAACAGTACACTTTCACAGCAGGCATATTGGTTAATCGACCTAGAAGATAAACATAAGATTAGTCAAAGAGGACGGCCATCCAAGCATACAAACAGAACACTTTCACAGCAGGCATATTGTTAATCCACCTAAAAGATAAACATAAGATTAGTCAAAGAGGACGGCCATCCCAGCATGCAAATAGAACACTTTCACAGCAGGCATATTGGTTAATCCACCTAGAAGATAAACATAAGATTAGTCAAAGAGGACAGCCATCCAAGCATGCAAACAGAACACTTTCACAGCAGGCATATTGGTTAATCCACCTTGAAGATAAACATAAGATTAGTCAAAGAGGATGGCAATCTCAGCATACAAGGAGAACACTTTCACAGCAGGCATGTTGGTTAATCGACCTAGAAGATAAACAAAAGACTAGTCAAAGAGGACGGCCATCCCAGCATACAAACAGAACACTTTCACAACAGGCTTGTTGGTTAATCCACCTAGATGATAAACAAAAGATTAGTCAAAGAGGATGGCCATACAAGGAGAATTCTTTCACAGTAGGCATATTGGTTAATCCACCTAGAAGATAAACATAAGATTAGTCAAAGAGGACGGCCATCCCAGCATACAAACAGAACACTTTCACAGCAGGCATATTGGTTAATCCACCTAGAAGATAAACATAAGATTAGTCAAAGAGGACAGCCATCCCAGCATACAAACAGAACACTTTCACAGCAGGCATATTGGTTAATCCACCTAGAAGATAAACAAAAGATTAGTCAAAGAGGATGGCCATCCCAGCATACAAACAGAACACTTTCACAGCAGGCATATTGGTTAATCCACCTAGAAGATAAACATAAGATTAGTCAAAGAGGACAGCCACCCCAGCATACAAACAGAACACTTTCACAGCAGGCATGTTGGTTAATCGACTTAGAAGATAAACATAAGATTAGTCAAAGAGGACGGCCATCCTAGCATACAAACAGAACACTTTCACAGCAGGCATATTGGTTAATCCACCTAGAAGATAAACAAAAGATTAGTCAAAGAGGACGGCCATCCCAGCATACAAAAAGTACAATTTCACAGCAGGCATATTGGTTAATCAACCTAGAAGATAAACAAAAGATTAGTCAAAGAGGACGGCCATCCCAGCATACAAACAGAACACTTTCACAGCAAGCATGTTGGTTAATCGACCTAGAAGATAAACATAAGATTAGTCAAAGAGGACGGCCATCCCAGCATACAAACAGAACACTTTCACAGCAGGCATATTGGTTAATCCACCTAGAAGATAAACATAAGATTAGTCAAAGAGGACGGCCATCCCAGCATACAAACAGAACACTTTCACAGCAGGCATGTTGGTTAATCGACCTAGAAGATAAACATAAGATCAGTCAAAGAGGACGGCCATCTCAGCATACAAACAGAACACTTTCACAGCAGGCATATTGGTTAATCCACCTAGAAGATAAACATAAGATTAGTCAAAGAGGACAGCCATCCCAGCATACAAACAGAACACTTTCACAGCAGGCATATTGGTTAATCCACCTAGAAGATAAACATAAGATTAGTCAAAGAGATCAGCCATCCCAGTATACAAGGAGAATACTAGGCATATTGGTTAATCCACCTTGAAGATTAATAAAGATCCCTTAACTCTGAAACCCTCATCCATACTAAGAATTATGGTTACATACATCAATAGGCCTATCAGCTTAAACCTGCACATCGCTCCAAAACGCAATATGTTGACATATATTGTTTTTACATTTTCAAGCTCTAATATGAAGTTTATGTAAATAAAAATTTTTTTTTTCTGCGAATTATCAAAGAACAATCATTTAGTTAAAAAAATAAAAATGCGAATGCGGGATTTGAACCCGGGCCTCCCGGGTGCTCGGCGAGGATTCTACCGCTACACCACTGTATTATTTTGAGTGGAAGAAGTAATTAAACGCTACTTATTTTGAATGCAATGATTCGGAAGTGACGTCACGTTCTTCATTTAGAAACCTTTCAAAAATCATATCGCCGGCTCCGATCGAAGCAAATTCAATGAAAAATCTTTGAAATGACACATTTATCGTAAGTATTTCTACACAAGATTTCCCCCATTTGTTCATCATTCTATAATCTTTCATCAAGCTCAAAATGATAAAGTTCACCCCCGAAACAACCCAAGATTGCGTTTCGGAGCGTAGTCCAGCTTTAACAAGCAAAAAACTATATTTGATCCCATGAAACTAATAGTTTTCATAAATAGTTTAATTACAGGTCTGGACTGAATGTTGTGTATATGGAATATACCCCATATTCCATTCCTCTCAATAAATAACCTCTGTATATCCTTACCTAATAAGAATGCTACACCCTCTGAGGAACTAGTAAGGAGCATGCTTGGTCCAATCTTGCCAACAATACGTCCCAGCTGCTCCTCTAATGTCTCATCAGTTCTCCTTATGTCCCTCTGCAGGACAAAACCAATAGGATGGAATTCAACTCAGTAGGATACATGTAATAAAGGGTACCCCATGAATTTGAAAAAAAAAATGTTTAAATAATCATAAATTCAAAATCAACCAAAAAAAAAAACACTAACTCCACAGAGTAGCAAATCCCACCGAACAAAACATTTTTATGATTATTAGTGGCTACCAAATCTGTCAACTAGTACTTGAGTTATCAAAGATTACGTTTTTTATGAAAAATGGTGGCCATTTTGAAATTCAGCCGCCATCTTGAAAATTCTTTCATGAAGAATAAAGGCATCATCGTATAAAATTTGAACTAAATCCATTCACTTGTATTTGTTTTTTTACAAAAAATGGCCGCCATTTTGATATTAAGCAGCCATTTTGAAAATCTCTTCTTCGGCGAAGCTCCTTTGTCCATAGATCAGCATATAAAATTTGAACCAAATCTGTCTACTAGTATTTGAGTTATCAAAGATTATATTTTTTACAAAAAAATGGCAGCCATTTTGAATTTAGCGTCCATATTGAAAATTCCTTCTCGAGTAGAGGTTCTACTCCCATAAGGCATAAGCCTATAAAATTTGAATCAAATCTGTCAACAGGTATTTGAGTTATCATCCTGACAAATGGACGGATGAACGGATGGAATAAAGGACAGATGGACGGCTTTTCCATATCCAGCTCGAACTTCGTTCGGTGGGATAAAAATGTGGTATTTGTGGATTACTAAATATTAGGTATTAAAGTCATTATTTCCAATAGAATCGTATTTGAAAAGATAATTTTATTGTACCATATTTATTTTACCTGAAAGGCCTGTGTGAGGATGAATATATTGTCAACTCCTACAGTCAGTACCAAGAATGGTACCACTTCAATGATAATCAGTGTCGCTGGTACCCCCAGGTAGCTAAAGAAGCCAATAGCTCCAAATACAGAGACGAGCACAATCAACACACCAGTTAGGCCAAGTGTGATCTGAGAATCAATCTGAAATAGAAACCAAGTTTGAAACCAAAATGAATCTCCATGTAAACATTCATTTTTACCTTGAGAGAGGTTCATCTTTGAATCCTGGGTTATTTCCTCCTCTTAGAGTGTTGCTTTTCTTGCTGGGTTTCTTTACAGTTTTTGGTCCTTTCCCTTTGGCACTTGTGCTTATATATTCAACACTGCTACTTATAGTTTGGCCTAGCTTTGTATTTTAAATTTTCTGATTTTTCCACATAACCACTCCCCCAGCTGATTCCTGAGATTCTGTAACTCCCTGAACCCAACACTGTATACTAATACTCACCAGTATTCTGGAGACACTGTTGTATCTACCAAGCGCTGTACAAACTGTGATAGAGACACACACAAATATGATCATGTAGCTGAGGAGAGTTGTAGTAATATCTGACTGACTCTGTCTGTTCAATTCATGTTCAATGGACCTCTGAAATATAAAAAAAATTAGTACCTTGGGTACTGGGCTCACATGGTGTTGCTCAAAAGTAGAAATAAAAAGACGGGTATAATTTTTTGCAGATTTTTTGTGACAAAATTATTTCATACAACTACTCTTTACAAAGACATGGCTTTTTACAATGCAGGACACCTGAACTTATTTGTAAATCTAGGAAATGGGCCAAAAGTGAATTTCCCGAGACAAAAATGGTGGCCATTTTGAAATTAGGCGAGGTTTTGAAGCAGGAGTCACAGGTTTTTTTTCTTTATTGATGTTGAACAAAATTATTTTATATCTGGAATCCTATCTACAGAGGATTTAAAAAGTGTTGACAGAGGTTTAAAACTTGCCACTTTTTTGGACTGACTGAGAGACAGATGGACGAATCAATGTTAACTAAAATGGCTGAAAATAAAAAAACTGATATAATATTTTTCCGATTTTTGTAACAAAATTATTTCATACAACTACTCTTTACAGTGACATGGCTTTTTACAATGCAGGACAGCTGAAATTATTTGTATAAGCTAGGAAATGGGCCAAAAGTGAATTTCGCGAGACAAGAATGGTGACCATTTTGAAAATAGGCGAGCTTTTGAACCAAGAGTCATAGGAGAGTTTTTTGTATTGATGTTGAACAAAATTGACTTAAAACAGGAATCCCATCGACAGAGGGTTTAAGGCAAATGGTCCAAAAGTGGATTTTGCGAGACAGATGGACAATTTAATGTTAACTAAAATGGCTGAAAATAAAAAAATGGATATAATTTTTTGCTGATTTTTCGTAACAAAATTATTTCATACATCTACTCTTTACATTGACATGGATTTTTACAATGTAGGACACTTGAAATTATTTGTAAAGCTAGGAAATAGGTCAAAAGTGAATTTCGCGAGACAAAAATGGCGGCCATTTTGAAAATAGGCGAGCTTTTGAGCCAGGAGTCATAGGGGAGTTTTCTGTATTGATGTTGAACAGAAATAACTTAAAACAGGAATCCTATCGACAGAGGTTTTAAAACGTGCCACTGTTGTTGACGGAAAAGTGGATTTCACAAGTCAGATGGACAAATCAATGTTAACTAAAATGGCTGAAAATAAAAATATAGATATAATTTTTCGCTGATTTTTCGTAACAAAATTGTTTCATATATCTACTCTTTACATTGACACAGATTTTTACAATGTAGGACACCTGAAATTATTTGTAAAGCTAGGAAATGGGTCAAAAGTGAATTTCGCGAGACAAAAATGGCGGCCATTTTGAAAATAGGCAAGCTTTTGAACCAGGAGTCATAGGGGAGTTTTCTGTATTGATGTTGAACAGAAATAACTTAAAACAGGAATCCTATCGACAGAGGTTTTAAAACGTGCCACTATTGTTCACGGACAGACAGACAGACGGACGGACGGACGGACGGACGGACGGACGGACGGACGGACGGACGGACGGACGGACGGACAGACAGACGGACAAGTGAGCGATTGCAAAAGCTCACGATGTGAGCTAATAATAATGAAAAGTGTACAATAGAATGATACAGTTTTTGATACTTTTTGCTCAAAATTGATAGTATACAATATGCAAAGTCAGTTCTGTCCAATTCATAGTCTACTTGTAAACTGTTACAGACACTAAACATCAACCACTGAACACCAAACACCAGCCAGAAAAAGGTGGAGACTATACCAATAACAACTAGACAATGGCAACTCCGCGGAATAGCAAATCCCAACGAACAAAATATCAATTACCGAATTCCAATCAATTATACTCATTACTTTGGTTAAAATTGAAAAATTTATATTTTAGAATTGCGAATTCCTGCAAAACAGCCATTTTGAATTTTCTGAGGTACAAATCTGAAGAATAATACCATAATTGTGATCTACTCCAAAATTCCTTCAATTCTCCCTTTCGCGGTTCGCTCTTTGAATCAGAACGTTCGCAAATATATACTGAAAAAGCACTCAAAAAGGACAAAATTTGATTGGTCAATAATTTCCCACTATGCATTTCGCGTAGCTATTTGCGTGACCCGAAAGTTCTAAATCAAACTAATTACCCAATTTTGTTTTTACACCCGCACGCTAAATAAAAAAAAATAAAACAATGACACCATCGGAAGTATTCTTCCTTGTCATTGCTTTAATAGTCAGTTTACCGAGTTTAATCAATAAAAGATTGTACAATGAACAACAAAATTCGGAAACGAGTACTATAGATTTGCTTTCGGACCACTGAACAGATTGACCTAGATAATAGCGACACATCTTCTTTGGTCTACTGCTCAATTGTTTGTGGGTTTTCAACGTAACTCTATAATGTAATTTGAAGATGAATACTTTTATTCAGTTGTTGCATCGATGTTGCAGTTTGTAGTGCGGTAAGATTGGCATGAAAGTATTGAAAGTCGAATGGAATTGTTTTTTCCAATATGGCGACTAGTCAACTGATTATGTGACCTTCTCTTCCGGAATATTTTCTCACTTTTCAATCATCGTTTTCACCACGCTATGAATCAATACAATGAAAAAATAGCTGTTATATTAAGATTAATAAGAGATCAATCGTTTCTCATATTTTTTTCTGTACTCTCGTACGGGAATATGAACGAATATATCGTTTGAAAAATAGGTGTGAAAATCCCCATGTTAAACCTATGAGGGAAAACAAGGAAGTATAAATTTGTTCCTCCGCGAAATGCATCATGGGAAATATTTTGACCTTATAAGGAAAGATTTTCGCGTCTCCTCTTTTGAAGAGGGAACAACGATTTCGATAATTTGAGTATAATACAGCCATACTTTGAAGGGATCGAAAAATTATTGCGAAATCGTACATTAGACGGCCATTTTGAATTTTACAATGCTCGAATCAGAAAAAGATACAATATTTGCAATCTACTCTTAATTGCCTTTCATTTGAGTATAATAAAGCTATACTTCAGAAAGATCTAAAAATTAGCGAAAATTACTGTTTTCCTGACCCCCCATACACGGCCCCTGGGGGTCAGGATGAAAAACACGGAATATATGTGAAATAGATAGATGTTGCGAATATACTACCAAAATTTAAAACAATAATATTAATAATTACTTTGGTTTAGAATGAAAAATTTATGGTTTTTGCGAAAAAGTCCCGTCATTTTTAAAGCGGCGGCCATCTTGAAAATTTTTTTTGCGTACAACTATTCACCAATATACATCTTTCCACTAAATATGAAGAAAATGGACAGAAGGACGGACGGACTGACGGACGGACGGAGGGCTTCACTATATCCCTACCGAACTTCGTTCGTTTGGGATAATAAGTGGGAATAAATGAGGGGAAGCTAAGATTATTTTTACAACTAAAAACATGCTTTGAATTTTACACCTTTCAGAAATCCTTATATCAAAGTAACATTATATGTCATTTCAAAAATATAGTCTTATTTTCTTTACTTTATTGCTATTAACTGTAATATCCCAGATGCGAGTAGAAATAATCTTGATTGAATCATTAAAAACTCACAATTCAGTCAAACTGATGTCATATTTAAAATCTACATGTAAAATTACATTTACAAATGTGGTTTTGAAAAGAGTTTATCAACTATGAAAAATTAATTTTCTTTGAAAATGTGACTTCTAGGTCGGGGAGATTCCCCATTGACCCCATGTTGTAAAACCACAAAAAGTGAAATATCTTTTCTTGTGTTGGGCAGATACTATTTTCTTTTGCTGGACATATTTTAATTTGTATTAACTATCACATACATATGGGTAATATGAAAAGTGAACCACTAAAACTGATGCATATTCAAGTTTAAGGGAATTTTGTAATACCCTGCCATGTTAATTCCCCCAAATCAGCCACCTGGTGGTGAAACTGGTAACTACCTACTCGCATCTGAGTAATTGAAACTTGTAATTGTTGGATGTACGTTTGGCCCTAAAAGGTACAAAATAATCCTATTATATAACAATATGTCACCACCTGAAGTGTTGATATGAGAAAAACAAATGTAAATGTTGACTTACTTCTGAAGTAAATCCTATTGATATATTGCTATCTGGAACATCGTTCACATAATCTTTCAAAATACGGATGTATTCTTTCTCCCACGTCATGGCAAGGTCAATGAATGTGCTGTTTTTCTTATAGTTATTAATTATAAATGTTACAATCACAGCATTAGCAGTGTAGTATTTGTCATCTGGAAAACACAGAAATAATGCATCAATTTATTTCTTAAAATACAAGCTGGTCAAATAGACCTGTTACCCATTCAATTTAGCCAGTTCATATCTAAATTTGCTGGTCAAAGTGACCAGCACTTTTGTACAAAGAGCTAGTCTGTATCAAATGTGGCTAGTCAGTCATGTTAAAGGGATGAGATAAAACAAAGCAAATGTGTGACATATTCGCAATTTGCGTTTAAACTTCCGAAAGAACTGTGTTCGATTATTCCGGCGTTCCTTTTTTTCGGCGTTCATTTTTTCGGCATGAACTGAAACATTTTTGCTTGATAATGATTTGAAAAAATGTGTATTTGCTTGGCATATTCTGTCAAGCAAAAAAACAGGCGTGACTTCAATTTCTTCAGCAAATGCGTGACAAATGTGCAAATTGCGGGACAGTTGGACCACTCTGGGAAGGCTGTTAATGAGTACACTGCATGCCATAAGAATCACTAGCAAAATCCATATAAACCTCTCAACACTAATAAGTTATGCTACATACCTTCATATTCTCCGAGAGCCACAAAAGGCATGACTGGTCCTCCAAATGTTCCCATACATGGCAGGTTCAGTAGAGGGTTCTGTGTGTCATTGATGGCAGTGGGGTCTCTGTAGTACAAAAAGGGAAATTGTTAAACATGGTCATGACTATGTATTTTTTGTAGTAGTTATCTTTGTAATTTTTTGAATAACTGTGTAATTTTGGAAAATGCATATGAAGAAAAATGCATGTATCTTCATATATGTCAAGGTTTAGAGACAGAAAAGTATGGCATTTTAAAGTTGGATTTTTTCAAAGCATGGTTGGGAAATTCTAAGTCAGACATTTTTAAACCCCTCACTTTAACAGACATTTTCCCTCATTTTGTGGCGTTGCAAACTTTTAATACATTAGTAAAATGCAATCCTTAAAAGTTAAGGAGTACAACTAAAGCTTTTTGAAAATGCCTTAAAGGTTCACATATCTTGTTGATTAAATTCTGCATCATAATTAAAGCTAAAAACTTTACTTTAAAATACCAATATTTTTTGTCTGTGTATCTTGACACTAATGATGGAAAACTGTACTACAGTTAAAAAGACTTTCATGTTGCTCAAGTTTCGTAAAATGTACAGGGTGGGCCAAAAAACGCCACTCAAAATGCTATAACTTTTTTAATTTTTGAAACAAAATCATAATTTGCATACCAAATGAAACTTGAGGTTGTTATCTAGCCATGTATCATGAATTTAACACTTTTACTTGACTAAAATATGTCACCAGCGTCTCACTTAAACATGTGGCGTGCCATGAGAAATAAGCATAATTTGCAAAATGCTCCTGAACTGATATGGCATGATGATCGCCAAGCTAATAGTCCTGATGCAAACCCCAGTGTGTATAGGGTATGGGAAGGTCTCCAGGAGATTGTATGAAGGCACCCAATCTAGAAAATTGCTCAACTAAAGCTGACAATTAAGACAGGTTGAAAAAAACTTAGCTGACATTTCATTGATACTGCTATATCAGCGAGGCGACTAAAACTAAAAAATATATCATCAAATAGGGTGGCGGAACAATGGAACTCCTCTTTTAAATCAGATATATTCCAAGTTGAAGGACTTGTTACATTATATTATTACTAAGAACCCCTGGCACTATATAACTGCAAAAATTTGGGGTATGTAGGTTGGAAAATAAAAAAGTTGTAGTGTCTTGAAAAAAAGGTGGCGTTTTTTTGGCCCACCCTGTACTTGTATAGCAGCAGTCTGATTTATTTTGGCAACTTCAAATGTACAATGTATGGCTGGTTATATTACCAATATAGAAAATATTTGGGTTTATTACTCCTAAAAATTATTAGTCCCATTATTCTAGTTTGTAACATTACTACCTTAATTTGATTGGAAAGTTGTGATTCTAATTTGCGTAGAGGTTGGGGTCAATTTCACACAAGTACAGGTTTCAAAGTTTCTTGCTAATGTAGAGGAATGTATTACTAACCTGACACAGTAAAGGAAATGATCCATATAGTCGGCGTAGCGTATAAAATGGAAATCATCCCAGATACTTTTATCTAGATTCTCCATGCTGTTTTGGAAATAGTTCAGGGGACTCTGAATGGTGCAGTTGTTGTTATCGGGTGATAAAGGGGCGAAGCAGATATCTTCAAGCCTAACATCAACACCATGTTTGCTATCATAAGCAGTGATATTGGCAAGTCGATTTTGCAAATCTAGCACCTAAAAATGTGATACAATTATATAGCAGCGTACATGTAAAAGTAACATATATGTCATTATCAATCTAGCATAGAAACTGTAAATTAAATTTAAATTACTATTTCTCGGGAAAATAAGTGCTGGAAAGTGAAGTGTTATTCAAATAATTCAATGGATAATATGTGAGACAAAACACACTGCCTACACTGCCTACATATACAGATTAGTAGCAGCAACTATCCTTAATTTCAAATTTTGATGACAGACTGACCTCATGTAAGATGTCTAGTTTAAGTACAGCTCCAATCATCCTTGTAGTAGGGCTACTACCAGAATCCTCCCTCCTCCAAGGGGTGGGGTCTTTAGCAGTTATTATGATCTGTGCAGTACGGTGGAATGGCCTGCAATTACAAAGTGATACTAGATACATTGTTTCATTCAGAAATTCCAAATACTGGTCCCTATAGACCCTATAGCTATGTCATAATGACCCAGATAGCACAACTCTGATGGGCCAACGTTGGCCCAACAACTACGTATCTGTTGGCCCAACGTTGGCTGTCGTGGTTGGCCCACCGTCGCTATGTCCATCGGTCCAACGTTGGTCCACCGTCGCTATGTTCATTGGCCCAACGTTGGTCCATTGTTGGCCCAACACGATTTCAAGCTACGTTGGCCCATAGTTGGCCCACTAATAGTAAGAAGACTGGTTGGCCCGACGTTGGTCAACAGTTGGTCCAACAATGTTAAGAGGGATGTTGGCGCATTGGCGGTCAAAACTGGTTGGCCCAACGTTGGTCAACAGTTGGGCCAACTTTGGCCCAACGATTACGTATATGTTGGTCCAACGTTGGCTGACGTGGTTGGCCCACCGTCGCTATGTCCATTGGCCCAACGTTGGTCAATTGTTGGGCCAACCATACCATACAATTTACTTTTTTGTACAGCCATTGTTGGCTCCCTGTGCAGCCAACGACAGGCCACATGAATAATTTGCCAACTGCAACCTTGAGAACCAATGGTCACCGATAGCGACGTTGACCCAACGTCTTTGTGCTATCTAGGCATTTAGTACTGCTACTGTAAATGTGTTCACAAATTATATCCGTTTTACATCAATAAAATATGGTGGCTTGTTTTTCCATACTAAATATATTTGGTAGCCTTATAAGTGGTTTCAACTGTATTACAAGGCGAAAATCCATATTTATGAGGTGAACAACATTATCAGATAATTTTGAAAGAAAATATTACAAAAATTTACCTTAATTTTTTTTAATGACTGCATGCTGGTATGTTTTCTTCTATTTTTAAGCATTTGCAATGATTTATCGATAGGTGGCTTCCTGGTATTAGCGGCAGCCAACAACGGGCCAACGTTGGCCAAACTACAATTTGCCAACTGCAATTTTGCACTGATCGATAGGTCCCAGATAGCACATCGCCAATGGGCCAACGTTGGGCCAACAACTACGCATCTGTTGGCCCAACGTCGGCTTGAGCGGTTGACCCAAGGTCATTTTGTCCAGCGGGCCAACGTTGGTCCAACAGTGGCAAAAAATTATATTGGCCCAACATTGGTCCAATGTTGGCACAGATAGCACACCGCCAGTGGGCCAACTTCGGGCCAACAACTACGCATCTGTTGGCCCAACGTCGGCTTGAGCGGTTGACCCAACGTCATTTTGTCCAGCGGGCCAACGTTGGTCCAACAGTGGCAAACAATTATGTTGGCCCAACGTTGGTCCAATGTTGGCAAAAAATTATGTTGGCCCAACGTTGGTCCAATGTTGGCTCGACAGTGCTTTAGTGCTAATGGCAATGTTGGCCCAACGTTGGCCTTGCAGAGGGAACAGATAGGTGGGTGGCCTAACGTTGGCCAAACAGTACTTTAGTGCTACCCAGATAGCACAACGACCTTGGGCCAATATTGGTCCAACATTTGCAGCGTCTACAACGTCAGCGTACAGCCGTAAAATTGCTGACTTCAGGCCAACAGAAAAGTGTACCTTGACGACCTCGTACCAACGTCGGCCCAACGTCAAAGTACCGCCCTAAAATTGCTAACTTCAGACCGAAAAAGATGTGTCATTTGCCAACCTTGTACCGACGTCGGTACAACGTGAGCTTACAGCCGTAGAATTGCCGACTTCAGGCCAACGGAGAAGTGTGCCTTGACAACCTTGAACCAACGTCGGCCCAACGTCAAGGTACCGACGTAAAATTGCCGACGTTGGGCCAACAAAGACGTGCTATCTGGGGAGAAGTCACTACAGAAATTCATCCCATTCAAAAGATGCACAAAGTTGACTTTTGATTTTGAGCAGATAGGGTTATGTTGACAATCAACTTGTGATCAGACTGTCATCGATGTTGACACACCATGAAGTTCAGTATGGTGTGATTTAATTATCTTCCCACTTCTCTCAAAGACCTCATGTCTATCCCCTAGTGATCTAAGGTCAATTTGACTTTAACCTCAAGAAATGCATCAACATTAATAGAATTATATGTGTACAAAAGAAGGTTAACAGGTCTATACTTAGCCCCATTGCATCAAGATCTTTTTATTCCCTTAACACACAATAACACATACAGCTTAATACTGATCAGAGTAGATAGTGAGAAGGAATAAAGATGGGATCAAGATTTGAAACCCACAACTGCCTGACTACCAATGGTAATTAACCACTTTTCTCTCTTTGACAAATGACTGGATCTCTGTGCCTATTGGGCAATAGACTGAAGCCAATGTTAAATTGTGGCAGTATGTTTTCAACCTTAGTCATGAATGCTGTCACTTGACTGATATTGCAGGATGAATAGATTTCTAGCTCTGATCAGTTTTTTTTAACCCCCCTTTGTTACTTACAGGTTAATGAGTGAAGTCATTAGGGAGGCTAAGGTAGACATTTTGAAGAGAACTTATTGAATTATTGTCCTCTACACCATGTGTGTATGATCGATCCTTATTACTCAGCTTGCTTACATTACTAAGAATTATAACTGATCTTTTCAGTAAAATTTGTGACTTTATTCTACAGAAATTGAGATTATGTTTCACAGTAAGTTCGGAGAGCGATTCTGTCTAGCGCATTCTCTTGGGAAATGAATGCATTTTTTACAGACAACAAATACATATCTGTGGATAAAAGGGTTAAAGAGCCTTATTATATGTCGTGACTTGGGTTGAATGGTGAAGGTGAATGTCATAGACAGTATCATACATCTTTTATTCTTTATGAGGTGAAAGTAACCTCACCAATAATAATACCCAAAGGAATGTCATAAGTAAACACTGATTAAAAGTTACAATGACAGAATTGACAGTATAGGTCATTCATTTCCGTTTTTTAACATGATAAATGAAGCATGTAGGATGAGAATAATGCGTAAAACATGATTCACATTATTACTCGATTACCTGGACGAATTCACCATTGAATTCTATTTGGTTAGGGATAAACTATGAGTCTTGAGTATGAGGAAAAATAATGGCCAAGGACCAAGGACTATAGCCCTAAGGCCATTATTTTCTCCAAAGTCCCAGGATGAATGGTTTATCTAACTTATGAAAGGTAAATGGTCCCAGATCAAATTTTAGGAATATTTGATTTCATTTGTATTGATTATGAGGTTTGTTGATAAGTGAGTGGGGTGTTATTAGTTCAGCTTTAGTGCACTGCATGTTATAGGTGAGGTACAGTGTAGAATTTGATTTCTTTTGTGTTTACTTTTCAACGATTGAGTGAATAGGACGTGATTAGTTCAGCCTTAATGTACTGCATGTGACTGCCCAGGTGTAAACATTGAGCACTTTTGTGCTTTGTTTAACACTGGCGGATCCAGGGGGGCCCATGGGACCCACCCCTCCGCCTTTTGTTGGCCCAGAAAGATTTTCAAAGGCTCCAAATATTTTTGTATCCAAAATTTTGTAGGGCCTCAAAAATGGGCCTTTTTGAGCATATATTTTTTGGCCAGGTTATCAAAAATGGGCCTTGAATTTTCAAAAAAAAATTTCCACACTCCAAATATGCCCTCCCCCTTGTTAGCTTCTAGATCCGTCAGTGTTTAACACAGGTTTTCCCTCCATCATTTATTGAGCACTCACTTCTGGTGACAGTTCCTCGATTTAATCTATTTATTATAATAAATGTGACTAGTATATCTTATATTTCCCCATACAAAGAGTTTTTTGATGACAAAATATGTTTGGAATACTTCTTCACTTCATAATTCATTCAATGGTATTTAACTTATTATCAAAGATGAGATTTTTACAAACATGTCAGTCAGTTTAAATTGAGTGGATATAATGGAAAATTTCTTTGTCAGGTCCTTTTCCAAAAAAACATCAGCAAATAAAGTTTGGTTCAATTCTGATAAAGGGTATTGAGTTATTACAGATGGACAGTTTGTCTCCTACTTATACTATTCATTATTAGTAAATGTCAAAATTCAAAAGGCAAAAACGTACGTAAAATGTTCTTCATAATAGTTCATCTCTTGTCGTGCTCTACTGTCGGGGGAAGACCAGAGTTCCACTGGATTTGTAGTGACTTTAAACAAGCTTATACCAACAATAAGGGCTGCACAACATATGAATCCTACTACCAGAGTATATATGGGGTATTTGGCGCACATACAGCCCCAACGTGTAAATATAGTTTCCAGCAAGCATTCCATCCCTACACCAATTTTGTCAAAACAGTTGATGTCATTTTCATCAACGGGACTCACTTCTGCACTTTCAGTGGAATGAACTGAGTCACCATTGAGAGACACCAGGGCAGCATCATTCATACCTATAAAAATGGCATAGAAATATTCTTACAAGGTATCCTACAATAATGACCAGCTTGATACTACAGCACATGTACAATAAAACTTGTCTAATCTGAACGCCACCGGGATTGAATAAAATTGTTTGGATTGATTCATATTTTGAAATTTTCAACCAATGCTCATCTATAGCTATGTCAGGAAGCTAACTTAATAATGACTGAAATTTGAAATTCTAGTACTGAAAAACCTTTATTGTTGATCTGTTAAATCTTACTTTATCACTGTACAGTATTAAAGCCCCCATGTTAAGTTTTATTTATCATTTACTATTTTTCATGACTTAAGTTATTCTAAAGATTTTGGAAAAAAAATTTAGAGGGAAAAAGGTACCAGCTTTTTATTTCTCAAATATTCAAATTTCCTTTAAATTAAACATTAAAATTTAATCATAAAATATTCCATTACATAGTGCAAAGCACATTCTTTTTTAAGTATATTTTAAGTTTTAAATACTCACTGGTGGATCTGGAGGGGGAGGGGCATGCCCCCCCCCCCTTGGGTGGGCCAGGGAGAAAATTGGGCCAAAAAAGCCTTATGGCCCCAAAAAGTGGGCCTTTTTGGTCATTACTGGGCCTTGTAAGGCCTTATTCTTTAATTCTAGGCCAAATTTTTAAAAAAAATGGCCCTCAAAATTTCAAACTTTGGGCCAACTTTTTGGTTTTAGGGGCTAAAGGTTTTTTTTTGCTCAGACCTGAAATTTGCGCCCCCCTCCCTTTCCTTGCTTATTTATCAACCAATTTTCTTAATATTTTCAACAAAAGACACGGGGGGATGAATGCTATGCATTGGTGTGGATTTACGCTTAGTAAAAGATATGTGTGAGCTCTAAAATTTAGTTTCAAATAAATTCACAATTTTTCACAAAAAGTCCTTTAAAAAACACTATTTGCAATTAAAAAAAGTCTCACATATCGCATATTTATAACATTGAGGGAGACAATATAAGACAATGTGGTTTAAACTTTATATGGGGCCTTTAAAACCTAAGTACTCTGAACTTACTTGAGTTATTCCTCCCAGTAATAATACTACATATGATCCAAATACAAAACAGTATAATGAATCCTGCAAATACTGATGAGCCAATAAATATAAATCCATCTATCCCAAGAATCTTCCATCTCGGGGGTGGCTTGATTGGAGGAGGTAGAGGGGAACACTGGGCTTCACAGTCCTGACAACTGCAGGGGGAGGATTTGTTGTTGAGAGGCAGGTTGCAGGGGTGAACTGTCTGATTGAGGGGGATCATGCGGTATGTACCATTTGGTCCATCTGTTGTTGCATTGTTAGTCAAATTAAAATTGATCTGGAAGCATTTTGTATTTGATATTATTGAGATTTTTATATGAGTAAATATGACTCTGAGACTACTCATGAATCATTTGAATAAGTTAGTTACTGTTTTTTTGTGTTCATCGCCTAAACCTCATCTTTCTTGCTTTTAGAGTAAAAATGATAACTTGGTAATGTCTATTTAAATAGATAATTATAATATGATGAAGTCCAGGAATAAGATTTAAAATGTTTGGTATACGCATTACGCAGAGAACTTTATTTATGAGAAACACCTCTGGGTTAAGTCAGAATTCTCGAATATATTTCCCATGATGCAGTTCGCGGAGGAACAAATTTATACTTCCTTGTTTTCCCTCATAGGTTTAACATGGGGATTTTCACACCGATTTTTCAAACGATATATTCGTTCATATTCCCATACGAGGGTACAGAAAAAATTATTAGAAACGATTGATCTCTTATTAATCTTAATATAACAGCTACTTTTTTCATTGTATTGATTCATAGCGTGGTGAAAACGATGATTGAAAAGTGAGAAAATATTCCGGAAGAGAAGGTCACATGATCAGTTGACTAGTCGCCATATTGGAAAAAACAATTCCATTCGACTTTCAATACTTTAATGCCAACCTTACCGCACTACAAACTGCAACATCGATGCAACAACTGAATAAAAGTATTCATCTTCAAATGACATCATAGAGTTACGTTGAAAACCAACAAATAACTGAGCAGTAGACCAAAGACGAAGTGTCGCTATTATCTAGGTCACTCTGTTCTGTGGTTCTAAAGCAATTTATAGTACTCATTTCCGAATTTTGTTGTTCATTGTACAATATTTTATTGATTAAACTCGGTATACTGACTATTAAAGCAATGACAAAGAAGAATACTTCCGATGTTGTCATTGTTTTATTTAGCGTGCGGGTATAAAAACAAAATTGCGTAATTAGTTTGATTTAGAACTTTCGGGTTACGCAAATAGCTACGCGAAATGCATAGTGAGAAAATATTGACCAATCAAATTTTGTCCTTTTTGAGTGCTTTTTCAGTTCATATTTGCGAACGTTCTGCTTCAAAGAGCGAATCGCGAAAGGGAGAATTAATCAATATAAGTCAAATTTCAAAAAATGAAGTCATAACAACTGAGAAATATACTTACATTGAAAGGAGCATATGAAGAAGTTCCCATAAAAGTCAGGAACTTTTTAGCAGTGCATTTATTCGCATCAGTCCCACAGAAAACTCCAATAGCTTTTGCTTTAGAACTTGGCATCTGTACATCCCTACATGAATCAAATAATCCATTTGCAAAATCATTCGATACGACATAGTCAATACTGTCAATTGAGTCATTTGCTGCCTTGTTGATGCCCCTAACGTATACGAAATCAGACTGACGAGGATCACAGGTAAGAGAGCAATAGAGGTTGAGGAAGTTACGGAAGCAGGATGGGCATCTGAAGAACATTTGTCGAGGAACAGTAAGACTCGAGTCCAGGGTTACTAACTGCTCCCAGCTACAGCATGTCATATTAGAGCCTACAATTATACAACATTATATTCATTATATTCATCATTAGACAACCAAATAATTAATGCAAGAAAATTCGAAGTAAATGTGTGACACATATGATATGCAATTGGCGTGAAAATTCCAAACAAACTGTGTTTGGTTTTTTTCAGAGTTTGTTTTTCATTTTTCTCTTGAAATATTTTTCCATGACAATCAGGAAAAATATGTATTTGCGTAACATATTCCGCTACGCAAAATAAAAAGAGTAAAGTATTTGATTTAAGTATTTGGGTGACCATTTAAGAGTTTCACAGGTGCACAAATCATAAAGACAATACATTATTTGAGATCTAATACAGTATCGTGTAACCATATGTACTTTTAAGGGCTTTATATAAAAAACCTTGACCTCGTACCCACGTACCCACATGGGTACCACAAGGTGGGGCATGATGCAGTCTTTGAAGGGTTACAGGATTGGTATTGATATGGTGAACTGAATTCAACAAAGTTTTTCTCTCAAACCAATTATTTAAAACATTCTGTACAATGGCGTAGCATCATATACGCATAAAACGCCATGGCGTACTCTCAAAATTGAGAGAAAGATGATAATTTTTATATTGAATTGCCCCACACTTAAAAAATGGATAAAAAATAATGATTTACATTTTGTTAGTTCATATCAATCAGAATTTCATATTTCAGAATGCTCTAGAACGCTTCAAATGAAATCTCATTTTCAAGGGGGAGAATACGCCCCCCCCTCCACCCCTCTCAAACTTTGTTTTATTCAAGCTCACTCGTGGCGTACCCTCACAAAAAATACCCTCGCCACGCCACTGTGTACAAAAACACGCTCCTTTATGTAATTTTGACTGATTGACAACAATTTAATGCAACAAATATTTATATATATTTTATATAGCTATTTATGTCAACATTTTTCGTTTTTTGGTGCAATTGTTTTTTGATCCTTTTTATCAAATCTTGAGAATGAAATAAAATATCTTTCCAAAGATTGTTTGAACAAAATAGCATATACAATATTTGTCTTAGACCTCCCAATATTATAGTTATACAAAGGAAATTTTGGTTGATTTAACAAAAAGTATTCAAAAAATTAAAACACAAAAACCCCCAAAATAGATTAAAATTAAGATAAACATTTTATTTCATTAACAAGATACTTTTTTTAAATCAACCAAACTTTCCTTTGTACAATTACAGTATTGAGAGATCTAAACATGTTGTGTTTATGTCATTTTGTTCCAATGAGGTTCAGATAGATGTTTCATTTCATTCCGAACATATGATACCTAGAACAAAAGAAGTGTTTGATGTGTTTTCTAAAACAACATGGATAAAAGCGTATATGTTTATTTCACATTTTACTGTTACCATTCAAAACATGACCATTAAATTGACGATGTGTAAAATTTTCATATTTTTTTGATGACTGGTTTAAGAAAACGTGTGTTCAAAAAGTTCACCATATTGAAACCCATCCTTTTCAAAATAACTAAGATGATTCAATCTCCGGTCCTTTGCTGAATTATAGATGCATTAATGCCCTTTGTATTATGTATGTCTTATAAATCTAACATTTGTTTAGTCAAAATTGTGAAATTGAAATGCTTGTTCAATAGAGCAATCTACAATAAAATCGCTTTTTATTTGTTGGGTAATTCAAGGAAGTTGTCTAAAAGCTATCACTATATTTTCACATTTAGAACACATCTTTGTCTTTATGGGTATACTTCTCTTCCAATTAATCAGTTTAGAATCAGATAGCTAATCATTATCAACGACCAAAGTAACAATGTAGTGTGATGGGCTGAATTTACGATCCCTGAGACTAATCATTACCCATGCTTTGATTAAATAAAATGAAACGGAATTACATTTAGCAAATCCCTGTATTTAAAACTAAATTAAAAATTCTAACCCTTAAAAGTCTGTATCACGACCCACTTACATGGGTACGTGGGTACAATGTTATAGCGAATTCCTGTTCTAGCAAGCCATTTTGAATTTTCTGAGGTGCGAATCAGAAAAATATTACCATTATTATGATCTCTTGAATTATGACTCTTAAATTCCTTCAATTTGAGTATAATATAGCCATACTTTGAACAGATCAGAAAATTATTTTGAGAAATCCCACATAAGGCAGCTTTTTTGTATTTTATAAGCCCAGAATCAGAAAAAATGATACAATATTTGCAACCAACTCTAATTTACCTTTCATCTGAGTATAATAAAGCTAGGCTATACTTCAGAAAGATCTCAAAATTAATGCAAATTCCTGTTTTCCTAACCCCCCATGCACAGCCCCTGGGGATCAGGGTGAAAAACACGGAATATATGGGAAATAGATAGATGTTGTGAATATTTCAAACAATAATATTTATTGCTTTGGTTTAAAATGAAAAGTTTAAGGTTTTTGCAAATAATTCCCACTATTTTTAAAGTGACAGCCATCTTCCATCAGGACAGACAGACTGACGGACAAAGAGCTTCACTATATTCCTCCCGAACTTTGTTCATTGGGATAATAATTTGTCTTACCTACATATTGTGGACATAGCTCTTGAAGCTTCTGTAGTCCAATTGTATTGTTCATCTGCTTGGCAGGACCAGAATATGGACAATTGAGCTTCTTTGACATAGCCCAATCTTTAGTAGGTGGATCCCAGCATTCGCCATACCAAACACAATGGCCCTCCTCAGACGAAGAACAGCTTGCCTGCAGAATTTTTAGTGTATACATGCACTTATTTTATTTGAAGATCAGGCGGGATTTCCAAGATTCAGAGTTGGTATTTGGTCATGTGGCATCAATTGACCCTTTTCCATACAAATGGAAAATAGATGGCATTATGGGTATTGGTAGGGCTAGGGTAGGGCAAGAATACATGTAAATGTATTGCCAGAGTCACTTAATTTCTTGATTTAAGAAGTAATTTCATTTGGATCAACTTAAAACACCACTGGAATTTAACTTTATGATCTTATTGACATGTGGATTGTGATTTCACATTAAAATTGTGATCCTTGTAAGAGTAAATAAACTTTTAAAGGTTTTTCAGCATTTTGTCAATGGGGATTTAGCCCAACCTTTTTTGGACATCTAGAAAATCATTAGAATTTAAATGAAGGTAAATAATGGTGCAATTTAAAGTTGTTTTGATTAAGAAATATAGACCGAAGAGCAGGGGTACTAGTTTCGAATACACCCCGCTGGTCTCGGCACAAACGATTTCTGTATCCCGAACGACCGAAGGGAGTGAGGGGTTCGAAAGCTTTTGTGCTGAGACCTAAGGGGTGTATTTGAAACTAGTACCCCTGCTCTGAGGTCTATATTACGATTCGAACATGAAAACTCACCAGAATAATGCAAAATCGTCAATTTCATTGTCATTTCCAATTTTTTTTTCATTTCTACTTCCGGTTGGCTGTTCCAATTTGTTTACTTACCTCCTGACCCCGACTAAGTTTTTTTATTGACATTTCGGCCTATTTTATTGGTTTCACGCATATCTACTACATTGATAATTATTGAAATTAATTCTTTATTGCCCAGAAACAAAAAAATCACGGCGGATATTTTGCTTCCGGACAATTTGCCATTTTGAATTTTGCAAACGAGAGGGGGATGCGAAAAGAATGGAACGGCCTAAACTGACCAATGAGTGCACTGAACGAAACACTTAGTACAGAGCCAGGGAATTTGATCTCGAATATAACTCAGCTGAAGCATTGACTTTGTTCACAGTTTATAGAAGGCATGAATACAGTCATGTTCGAATAGAAAATAACACACACAATTAAAATATGCCATCAAATAGAAGAAAATGTTAGTCTTTAATGGTTAGAAATGCAGATCTCCCAAAATCTCATCATTAAAACGAGACTTTAACGAGATCTCAGAGCTATATGGAAAAGGGACCGTTGCTGGAATTACACCATGCATTTTAGAAAGGCGCCTAAGGTTTTAACTTGTGTTGAAAAATAGGTGTAATCACGATTGCAGTTTTACAAAAGCACTTTTCCTAAACTCTTAGGCGTTTTAAGAGTGTAGTGTAATGCTGATCGTTTTTTTGTAAAATGCCTTACCCGGGTTTTTACCATTCACTGGCGGATCTAGGGGGGGGCCCCAGGGGCCCGGCCCCCCTCCCCCCTTGGGTGGGCCCAGAAAAAAAATTGTGCCCAAAACAAATTTTGAGCCAAAAAAGGCCTTAAGGCCCCAAAAAGTAGCCCTTTTTGATCATAAATTGGCCGTTTAAGGCCTTATTTTTTCAGTTTAGGCCAAATTTTGAAGAAAATGTGCCTCAAAATTTTAAAATATGGGCCCATTTTGGGTTTTAGGGCCCACAATTTTTTTCTGCGCAAGCGCGGAACTTTTTTTCTCAGACGAGAAGTTTGCCTCCCCCCTGTTGGTTCCCAGATCCGCCCCTGCCATTTGCCCTAAACGAAATAAGACGTAACTTGAATGCTGCACATTTGGGCCACCCCAAAAATACAGGAAAAGATGGATGGGACCCAAAAAATGCAATAGGTCATCTTATATCGCAAAAATTGAAAGTAAGTTCACATCACTGGCAAATAATCTGTAGATATGGAGAATATCCAGCAGATGTGTATATGTACAATAAATGAATTCTTTTAGCATCTAAGAGAAACGTTATTGAGACTTTTCCCAGTGATGTGAACTTACTTTCAATTTTTGCGATATAATTTGATGACCTTTTGCATTTTTTGTGTCCCATCCATCATTTCCTGTCATAGTTAAAAGTGCATG